AAGTTTATCCATCTTGAAAGGAAGGGGTAATTGAGTTTTTCCCTACTCACTTATTGCATCAGGCTTGGGTTTCCTACAAGGAATCAAATTGGATTAGTTCAACGGTTTGGATAATTCTGCTTATTTGCTTTGGCAGGTTTGTGTTTTTAAACGTGTTTCTAAATTGAAGAGTATTTTATATGTGGTTAGGCTGATAGGAATAGCTACTCAAGCACTTATCCATTTTCAAAGGATATGAAATCTCTCTTTTAAGTGTGTAATGTTGATTCTTAATGTCTTTTTGTCTCTTTATTACCTTTACTTCCACTATATCTTTCCATAGGGGTGGGTGTTCTCTTCCTCATAACAATTGCAATGCATTTTTTGTTAATAATTTTTGTTTTTGGATTTTCTTGCCCCAGCATTGCAACGTCTTTTTACATATTTGTGCAATTTATCAAGTTATCTCCGGAAGAAGCTTTACAAGATCCAATCTACCATGTTCTGTTGCAACATTCAAACAAGTATGTATCGGAACTTTAGATGTAATCTCAGATAATTACCAACAAGCAGTCAAACACTTGAATTACCTGATAATTCTAAAAATAAGATTATGGTAAAATTGTTTACATCAATGCCTTGCATGCAACTTCTATTTGCAGTGTCTCCTCTAGTACTGCTGATGACTAATGTTTATCTGTTAAGTTTTTTGGATTGCTAACAAGTACCTGATGATCAAAGAATTTTCAAGCCCCCTAGCTAATATTCTGGTATCACTTTTTTAACCAATATTAGGTTATTATGCTGTCAATGCAGAACACAAATGTTGGCAAATAATTCTTTTTACATCATAATATTTTGCAAATAAGTAATGTTTTATGGTGGTTCCTAGTTTGATTTCATGACTGCAAATGAAAAAAATGGAGTAACATGCCATCTCTGCCATTAGGGATAGCACAAAACAAAAGGAGAAACACTCCCCTGTGGCGATTTTAAGGATCTTGTTTAGTTTCTTGGGGTGCTTTATGCTAGGAACTTTGATCTACACAATTGTGACTGATGGTTCACCGTTCCGCAAAGAGCTTTTTACACCGTAAGTTCTAATTTTCCTTTTCATTTCTTGCAGTCAGTTTTGTTTCTTGAAATATATAGGGTATAAGAGAACATAGTTTATTTCTCATCATTTTGGAAAGAGAACTATTGATATTCAATCAGCTGTTTAAACAATTTATGCTAATTTCTTCATTTTGTTTCTCCTGGATCATTTATCTTTCACATTAAATCAACAAGCTGCTTATCTTTCACAGGTGGATGACAGCTACACTAATTGATTTCTATATAAATGTTGTGGCTCTATCGGTATGTCTGACATGCTAACCTTTGAACTCACATACATGTTAAAACTGCTATATTTTGCTTGTATTTACAAAGCGCAAAAGGTCGATAAACTTAAGTACTTTTTGTTAATGATTCTTTGTCTTCCTCTCTTTTGAGTGATTAATAGTTTTTTTTTTTTTTTTTTTTCAATTATAGGTTTGGGTTGCCTATAAAGAAGCAAATTGGATTAGTGCTTTCCTTTGGATAATTCTTTTGATATGTCTTGGAAGGTAATCTCCACTCCAATTAAAAATATGAATTTTGCTAGTTCAGTTGATTTCTAGGCCATATGATCTTTCCTTATAATGCCATTCTAATCAAACTTTTGATTGCTTCTCCCCCAGGAACAGAACTTTCTTGAGTTTCTATCATTTTTTTTTTCTATCATTTGTTGTCCACATTTTTATGAGTCTTATTTTTATTTTCTTCCTTCCAACCGTTTTAATCAGTAAATAATCCTTGCATGACAGCCTTAAGATGTGATAAATTAAAGGTAATGAGAGTCAACTAAATAACATAGCTTTCTTCTTGTATCTTCCACGGAATTTTGATATCTGAAACAAAAAAGTACTCTGGCCTCAAGGCATAATCTCATTGGTATTTTTTCATTTCTAAAAGGGACATTTTAAGTTCAAATCCCCTCTCAGCAAAACCTATTAAAAAAAACTGAAATGAGATGTGTGACATCCCTCTGGCACAAGAATACTAAATCCTGAATGTCAAAAAGAAGTTGATCAAAACCTGACTTCATCCCTGTAATAAGTAGTATCATTTTTCCTCTCTATGCTTAGGCTGTGAGTTGTCTTTAACACTGTCAGGGAAAGTAATATTTGTTTCAAAATTATTTGTCATGTAGATTTTTTTTATTATTTTTATTTTTATTTTTTTTACCTCTGGTTTGTTATTGCTTTGTAAATTGTAGCTGATGCAAATTTGGTTTTCCAAACATTTCAGCATCATCACATGTGCATACATTGTTAGAGAATTGTTTCAGATTACTTGTCAAGATCCAGTTTACCTTATTTTAGTGAAACGTGAGGACAGGTAAGTCCAGAACACTTAACTTTTCTTTTTCTTTTTGTACCTTAAAATTCCTACTGCTTTTTTACCTTCAAGCGCGACAACTCCTTGAATGATTAAGAAACTGACTGCATCCATTAAAGAGGAAATTGGATTTTTCACCACTGCTTTATATAAGTGCTGAAACCATGATTATCGGGTTTTCGAAAGTCCACGTGCCCCACACCTGCACATCCTTCCTTGCACACTAAAAGCTATGTGGTTGAACAACCACTGCTATTTTTATGTCGTTACCCCAGTTACTGCTTTCAACATGCTTTGAAATTCTATTTCGTTTATGTGTTTATTATTAGCCAAACTGAAGATGCCATGGCTATGTTGTTGTTCATGGTAGGGCAGAAAACAGGTATGAGAGACCTGAACTGCACAAGAAGGTTTTGCCCTGATTCCAGAGTACACTGAAACCACACATTTCAAACTGCTTGCATGGAGAATTCTTTCTTCTTGTTTCTTATGTTCACTACAAATGCTGCTGATATATGTTAGATTATGTAAATATTCTTTCTTCTTGTTTCTTAATGTTCACCACAAATTACTTGCAATTCTACAAACCATCTCTTAATGCTTGATGATATTCTTTCACTACATTATATTTTGACCCTTTTATTTGTGATGATTAATATCACTCCAGTAATATGGGAGCTGAATCTAGCATCTAACCGGAGTTTCCCCAACTCATTCAGAGGCATCCTAAGCTAATAGGAAAATGACATTTCATTATATTAAGACAACTCAATATGTTAAGAATATGATGAGATGTCATGGTGAGTTGTGAATTCGTGACTAATTCAATTGACTAAAATCTTAAGGTTAAATCTTCATATTTGGTCTTTGAATTATTGTGTGGACTCTCGATTCGATCCCTAAACTAAGAAAATCTTTGATTTAGTCCCTAAATTATTATACAGACTTTTGATTTGATTTTATTGTTTATCAATTTACTTCAAATTGGTCTTTTCGTACAAAAACAATTGATGTAACTTGGTTCATATTGTTTACCAATTTACCTCAAGTTGGTCATTTTGTATAAAAATTAACTAACGTGTTTTATTATTAATGTGACACATGATCATTAAGTTACTGTTTTTCATCGTTAAGTTATTGTTTTTTGTGGTTAAGTAATGGATACGTCAACTATTTTTTATACGGAATGACTAATTTGGAATAAATTGGTAAACAGTAATAATCAAATTGGGGGTCCGTACAATAATTTAGGGATCAAATCAAGGATTTTTTTAGTTCAATGACCAAATTATGGGTATGTACAATAGTTCAGAGATCAAATTAGGGATTTAACCAAAATTTAAAAACAAAACTTTAAAAGTTTGAGATTTTAAGTTATACTCTTAAAAATAATTTTGGTTTAACAAGTTAATTAATTTTTTTTAAACTATTATTTAGTTTATCAAGAATGTATCTCTTGCGTAAATAAGAAGAGGGAGTGCTCTGTAGTAATTGGGCTTAATTGTTTTCTGTTTGAATTTGGAATCAGTTCAGGGCTACTTAATTACGTGTTTAGTTTTGGGTGAGTTCAAAGCCAAATTAAACAAAAATTAGCTGAAGGGTTTAACTGAGAACACAACATAGTGCGAGGGCTGAAGACTAAATTTTCATTTCCTTAAAATCAACGAAAGTTAAGGAATCCCAATTGTGTCCGTGTCGAGACGTGTCCTCTCCTTGCTGCCACATCACCAACGGCTTTTTTTAATTTGAGTTTTTTTAATACGTGTGCTGATAGTACGGATTGAGATATAATTAATGCTTTTTTTTTTAGCAATAAGGATGTATTGTAATCCATTTTAAATTTTATATTATAAATTAATTATAAAAAATATAATATTAATTTCATTATCAACCGAAGTAATCATTATACAATTTAAAAATGTATTAATTATATATTTTTTATAATTAATTTGTATGAAGATTAAGAAAAATTAAGGTTTATTGTTAATTAAAATGTTAGAATTGTAATAAAATGATTAAAATACTCTTAATGAATAAATATGTACAATAAATATTTAATAAAGTTATTTGAATAATTTTATAAGAAATTCTAATATTTAAAATGT